GCCATGGTTTGATCGCTCCTGTAAAATAGCATCATGCTATAAGCAGGAGTGCTACCAAGCATAGGCTGACGCATCAAAGTCCCGGGATGTAAACACCAGCGCTCTAAAAAAGAAGTATAATTCCGCTTCCAGGTCCTTCAAAAGAGTCATTGCCAACGCAAAGTCAGAGCACATAGGCAGAATTGGCGAGAAATTAGTTCGCCTTCCTTATGGAACCCGTGCATTCTGGTGTCTCGCCAAGGCTGTCCAGGGGAATTTCTCTCAGCCATCTCTTCCATCTCTGCACAGGGACGACGACTCACTGGCCCATGCCGCAAAGGAGAAAGCCAATCTGCTAGGCTATTTCTATGCGTCCAACTCGACTCTTGATGACGGGGGGAGTACGCCGCCGACCGTCCCGCGGTGTGAGTGCTCCATGCCGGAGGTGCGGTTCACACAGCGCTCGGTTCGCAAAGCACTCCTCTCCCTGGACACAAGTCGAGTGGGCCTGACGGTATCCCCCAATTGTGCTGAGGACGTGTGTTCCAGAGTTGGCACCGGTCTTAATGCGTCTTTTTCGTACTTCTACTCCCAAGGCGTAGTCCCAAAATCATGGAAGACGGCTCTCGTCCACCCGATCCCTAAAAAAGGTGACCACTCAGACCCGTCCAACTACAGGCCCATCGCCATCACCTACTTGTTCCCAAAAACAATGGAGTTTATTGTTAACTGCCAGCTCATGAGGTACCTGGAGGATCACCAGCTGATTAGTGATCGTCAATACGGTTTTCGTCATGGTCGATCAGGTGGTGATCTTCTGGTCTACCTGACTCATAGATGGGCGGCGGCAGTAGAGTCCAAGGGGGCGGCACTGGCCGTTAGTTTGGAAATTGAGAAGGCCTTCGTTCGGGTTTGGCACAAAGCACTTCTTTTGAAGCGTCCTTCTTATAGGCTTACCGAAAAATTGTGCAATTGGATCACCAGCTTTCTTGCAGATCGGAGCATCAAGGTCGTTGTAGACGATGCAAGCTGCGACTACAAGCCTATTAATGCTGGTGTTCCACAAGGCTGCGTGCTATCACCAACGCTGTTTCTTCTGCAATGATATGTTCAATGATATGTTGCAAGCCGGCAACATTGATTGCTATGCATGTTGATGCATAACAGCACTACACCGGTTGTGCCAATATTTCTCGGGGAAACGTCTCCGAATACCCGGACAAACTTGTGTCTGAAGTCGAGTCTTAGCTGAACAAAGTCTCGGATTGGGGCAACTAAATCTAATCCAGTTTAACCCTTAGAAGACACAAGTTTGTGCGTTAACCGCTAAAAATAACCCCTTCGTCATATCTCCTCAGTTTCAAGGAACTGCCCTTGTTGCCTCAGCCTGTATCGGAATCCTCGGCGTCGATATATCGAGTGACGTGCAGTTTCGTGGTCACTTGGAAGAGAAGGCCAAATTGACCTATAAAAAGCTTGGCGTGCTCAGCAGAGCGGGTAATTATTTCATGCCGGCACACCGCCTGCAACTTTACAAGGCGCAGGTTCGGCCGCACATGGAATACTGTTCCCATCTCATAGGAGGATAGATGGCGTGCATTCGTTCAAGTAACATTGGCTCTGTAAAATTATTTGCTTAAAAATATTATTTATGAGTTATTTTATCTAAAAGTTATTACAATCAGTGCATTTTGATACAATTGAGCTGTGAAAGTGTTCTCAACGAATATTGTCGTGTGTATTATGTGATAATTAGCTGAAAAATATTTAATCGAATAATTGTATTTTGTTTTGGAACAAGACTATAATCGAAGTTGTAAGTATTAGTTCTGGACTGTTAAATTCAAGTGAACTTCAAAATCTGATCGAGGAAGATAATATTACAAAAGTTATTCTTTCTGGGTGACCGTTAAATTAAGTTTGAATCCTTTCAAATTTATTTGTTTGAAACAACGCTATCTAGAATCATCCATAGGCATTTGTTACTAAACCGATCAGATCACAAGTCGATAAAGTCACCGTTTTCATTTGAGTTGCACACATGGAGGAAGGGATGGCGCCACTAGTACCAAGTAAAATTCAATGCAATGGTTGTTCGCAGGAAATAACCGACAAGCAATATTTAAAATGTCATGTTTGTTGTAAATATTATGATCTTCCTTGCACAAACGTGTCAGAAAAGCGGTTTTATATTACGTCAGCAGATAATAAGGAAAACTGGAAATGTCAGGAATGTAGAAGCAATGAACCTAAGACTGACAATACCAATACACCAATAAAACGCAACCTGCAATTGTCACCAAATAGCAACCAAGATCGGACGTACAAATGTGACTCTGCGTAGTCGTACGAATGAAAAGCTGAAATCTACGGCCATTTCAACATCCGCATCATCAACACCTGATTTGCCAACTAGTGATCTAGCAAATGAGCTAAAACTATTGCGCCAAGACATCAAAGAAATGCGTAATGATATGCAAGAGTTTAGGGGAACGATGACCAACCTGCTTACCGCAATAAATGCGTGCAATCAGCGACTTGACTGCCTGGAGGCACGAATGGAGGTGGTGGAGAAAAATTCGCAGATAAAGACGTCCAATGACATATCATTTTTCGAGAAAACAATTACGGATCTCAAAATTGAGCTTAATGACCGTGACCAGGAACTCTTAAGCAATGATATCGAGGTCTCGGGAATACCCGAAGACAAAAATGAACGTTCTACACATATTGTTTTGGCAGTTGCAACTAAATTAGGTGTAGCGCTAGAAGATCGCGATATAGTAATTGCAGAGCGTGCAGGCCTTTTGCGCCGTGAGCAGAATGAGACATCTAGGCCGCGTCCCATCGTAGTGCGGCTGGCACGCCGTGTTCATCGCGATAGTCTGCTAGCAGCGGCGCGAGTTCGTCGAGGCTGCACTACAGTTGTTCTGGGACTCAATTCCGTCGACTGTCCCTTCTATGTGAATGAAAGGCTAACCAGACATAATCGTCAACTATTTTATAAAGTACGCACAGAAGCGAAACGCAATAATTGGAAGTATGTCTGGACACGGCAAGGTTAAATTTTTGCTAGAAGAGAAAACGGTGAGCCCCATCATCGAGTGCGCTTTGAAAGCGACTTAATTAAAGTTTTTGGGCAATAGTCGTTCGGTCCTAAATATGATCTCATTTTTAATGCTAATCATTTTTCCACCCACTATTATTGTAAATCATTATTTAATTGTTGTTATTCTCTCACGTTGCATTGTATTCTCCCCATACATATTGACGTTACCTACATACACTTAACAAATCACATATCGATACACTATTTTATATACTCTATGAAAATAACAATTATTCTACTTATTTTATTTGGTCCTGTTTTGCTCTCCTTACAAAAGTCTAGCACTTAGTTGTCACTCATCATTTTTATCCCTGTCTCCACATCCCTCTCTCACACGCACACACGCACGCGTGCAAGCGCACACACACACACACACACACACATGTACTCGTACCTTTGTTTGTTTTTATTACGATTTTTATAACCTTATTGTTTTCGTTTTTTGTTTTTACTATCATTTTTTCATATTTTAAGATCTGTTACTTGGTTTTTAAGACATTTGTGTAAGCTGACGGTATCGCCATCTACCTTCTTATATATAGGTTCCACTGAAAATCAGCTTTCATGAAGTTTCTTAGTGTTAAACTTCGTGAATTTAACGCTGAGTGGAAACCTTTTTGGTGCACTAATAGCATAAAATATTTTTTTCTCTTTGTAACTAAATTACTGTGTTTATGTCTTTTATGTGTTTTTTACGTTTGTGTACCAAATAAATATTTTTCTTTCTTTCTTTCATCTCTGGGCTGGGGAGCCCCAGTACCAGCTCCTTCCACTTGACCGCATCCAGCGCAGAGCGGCTCGAATCGTCGACTACCGAGTGCTTTCCAATCGGCTCGATTCAATAGCGCTGCAAAGAGATGTTGCATCTCTTTGCGTATTTTATCGCATCTATCACGGGGAGTGCTCTGAGGAATTGTTCGGATTAATCCCAGCCGCCTAATTTCATGAACGCACTACACGGCAAACTTCCCGATACCATCCACACCATCTTGATGCTTGGCGGTCCACCACTGTACGTTTCACAAGGAGTTTTATTCCGCGAACGACCTCTCTGTGGATAGTTTACCACCGGCGATTTTTCCGGACCGATACGACCTGGGGACCCTCGAGAAAAGAGCTTACTCCTTTCTAAAGGGCCGGCAACGCACAGGCAATTCCCCTGGTGTTGCGGTTGATCATGGGCGGCGGTAGTCACTTAACATCAGGTGAGCCGCGTGCTCGTTTGCCCCCTCTTCTATAAAAAAAACTAGCCATCTGCCAGTGCGCAGGTTAGAACTGTATTGCACGAGTGTTTGCGCAAACACATTGAATTGTGAGAGTGAGCGACAGTGCACCCTGCACTGTCGCTCACTCTCACTATTCAATGACATGATAATTCGACACGATCGGAGAGGGATCAGGCGCAGGACCAACGGCTTTTCTTGTTTCCCAAGGTAAAGGAGTACAACACCACCAATTGCTGACTCCGCTCTTGCTACTCAAATAGCAGTCCGTAGTCATGAAAAATAAGGGTAATAAACGAGTACAAAGTCAGATTGGTTGTAAGGGAAAGGCCCATGCATGCATTTATCCTTGATTAAGAATTAAAATGCAGATGCGTTGCCACACCGGAGCACTGATATGGAATATCCCTCATTTCCATTAAAATGGGTCTTCAGTTCCTATACTCACCATACTAAGTAGTAAGAGCGTGGTCCTACCCCGGTCGAGCCAAAACCTTTCGGAATACAATCATTATTTGCTGCAGCATGGCCTTACCACGTACTATATCAATCTTTATATAGCTAGTCAAACAATAAAATAAATACAGTTGAAACTCTTAACGACTTCTATCGGGCCAACCACGTTAGTACTTATCGGTTCATGATAATAATGTTTGAATAGTTAAACGATTTTAATCATTTTCCTACAGTACACTATTCACTGGCGGCAGATATGTGCTCGCTGGCACTAACAACTCTGAAGATGGAACCGGTATAACACGCCACGTCAAGCGCCTCGTTGTACATCCCCGATTTTCTGTGGGACCATACTGGCTTGATGCAAAACGCTTCAATATTGACCAGGTACTGAAAAAATTAAACACAATATTTTCTGCGAACTTTCAACAAAATGAAAAGGTGGTAATATGAACAGTAATACATACTAACATCCATACATGTTGCTATTTCTGACACCGATAATGCTACGCTTACATAGTAATATCACGTAACATCAGCTACTCTGCCTGCCATTGACTGATGAAGATAAAGATTACTCTTTTCACCTTTACTGTTTTTGAATATGAATGGTCTATGACCGAATTCTTAAATAAAATTTATAAGATTGTTTTTAAACTATTATTATATGCCAGTGTTTGACTGTACCACCCGATGGTAAGTGGCGATGCAACCGAAGATAGCAAAAGGCACTGATTAAGCCCTATTTACTCTTATCCTGTTCCTCATTGTCGGTAACTCTTGAAATTTTCAAACACAGGTAGCAGCAAGATTTGACTTTCTTCTGGCTGAATTAGATGAACCCTTACCACTAGATGGCAAGACCATGGTAGCCGCAAAACTAAACGACGTGTCAAGACTTATCCCTCAAACAAATGTGGGTTACGCGGGCTACGGTGCCGAACACCATGGGGTAAGGGGACACCTTCGAATATTTTTGCCAAATACAAAGACGTTGTTTTATAACTGTATGTAACAAAAAATGATATTTCTTCAAAAAATTACTTTTTACAAATATACAGATAGCAATTTTTTGAAGCACTTCTAAGTATATTCATATATTCCAAAAATATTTTTATACAGTGCTTTTTTTTAATAACTCTTATAAAAACTTATAGGAAACCATGCGTCACGAGATGCACGGTATGGAACTTTCTATACTATCTGAAGAAGAATGTGCGGCACTAGAAGAATTCGACTCTCAAGATATGATTTGCGCAAAAGGACGCCCGCCCAGGTTCGATTCTGCCTGCAATGTAAGCATATATTTTATGATTATCACGTATTGTTTAAGAAGGAACACTAGTTACACTCGTCTCTTTGTTACTATAAAATTAGGCTTTTACGTGACTATATTTGCCATTGGAAGAGATGCAGCTGCCTCGCAACGAAAGGTAAAATTAAACGTTTTGTACAACCGACTTCAATATAAATAAAATGAAAACATCACCAATTTAGTAGAAGTCAATTAAATGCATTATTAAGGATAACTCAAAAACTGCTGGTCAGGTGTTGCTCAAATTTATGGGAAAATATATGGGTCCAAGTGATAAGCACCAGCTTTTAAATAAAAAAAAAATCATTAAAATCGGTTCACCTAGAATAGTTACACATAAAGAGTCGAATTAAAAACTTGCTCCTTTTTTGAAGTCGGCTGAAAAAATATCTATCCGTGTATTTCTTCCAGTATTTCATCAAAAATGAAAATAATTATATTACATAATATCTAAAACTAGTTTACACATCATGCAAGCACGAATAAACAAAAATGTATAAGTAATATGCTTTACTATTTAGGAGTAAGTTTTTTTTTTATAAATCTGACGTGACAAATCAACTTACAATCCATCCGATGCCACCTATGCTACAGTCTATGAACACCTACAGACGACTTCAAAAAGAGAAGACAAACGTTGTCAGCTCTGAGGACTTAGATGTAATACCTCATCTGCACGATCAATAGGTAAGAGGGAGAAGGAAGCTATCTAGCCCATGTGCCTTTTTTGGAACTGGCTAATGTGTTGAAAAAGTAATTTTTTGCATGCCTGATCGAATCATGCCACGTATAACAGTGTTGATTGCCTATGTTTATCACACACACATTTCAATTATTAGCCTATGAACTCTGCTGAACATAGGCTGGTTTTTTGGCGGGAACTTGGCCGTCGACGGATTGTCGCTTCTGTTTTGTCGCTTGAATAATAGTTTGAAGTCGATTTTGATTCGTAAAAGTGATGCGATTTTATTAATTAAGTGTCTGCGTGTGTGAACTATTAGAGAAAACGACGAAACAAGTGCTTTGATGTTGATATAAACCTCAAGTTATTTTTATCGCTTGGACGCCTTATGAACTTGAATGGCTGTTGTCATCAACTGTCCGCTGGGTTGAGCTGTCGCATTGACTTATCCTTTTGAAGTCATGGAGCTGTCGTCAAAATCTCCCAAAAACTTCGCAATGTGACGCATCAGCATATTGTGAAGAATAAATATATAAAAACGAAGATAACGAAAGAAATGATAGGCTCAAAATGGCTAGAACCCAGAGCCGTAAAGCCAGTAAAATAAATAAAAATGTGAACATAGGCCGCACGCATAATGATCAATAGAACTGAGATATTGTGTCCCCGTGGTAGAGCCACGCTGCAGCTATATTATAGTTGCAGCATAAATGAGTCGGCTCGACTGGGGAAAGACCACACTCTCACAGAATACCAGCGTAAAATAGCAGCTTAATGCTGCTGTTTCGTTGGTGAGTGTAGAGATCCGGAGACCCTTTTTTAGTGAATACGAGCCATTCCATCTTAGTCCTCAGAGGTGACAACGCATCTGCATTTTGATGCTTAATCGAAGATAGATGTAGATGTCTATGGGCAACAATATCCACTTATCATCAGATGGGCTGTGTACCTTTTACAATATCAATCTTATTTATGGGCTTTATCAATGTTTACAATGGTATCCTATCGCATCATCTCAAATTTACAAAATCGAGATAAAAAGCCTCCCATGTCATTTCTGATATTGCAAGGATAATTTTAAACTTACATCTTATTGTACAAGTTAGATAATTCATTATTTTAAATTAATCAAAATAATAATAATGTCCTCCAGACCGAATTTCGGCCACGGCGGCCTGCCACAACGGAGACTAGCCATCGGCGCAGGATTATAGTGCCCAAGTGTATGCGCAAGCACAGGTGCACTCTTTTTGGCCCGACCCGGGAGTCGAACCCAAGACCTCATGATCAGCAGTCGCACTACTACAATTACTAGACCAACGAGGCAGTCAAATAAATTAATCAAAATACACCATTGTAAAAATTATATTTTTTTTTATTGTCAGGGTGACAGCGGCAGCGGCCTAGTCGACACAAACGGAGTATTAGTTGGCATAGCGTCGTGGGTTGAAAACGACGCGATAGAATGTCGCAACGGTAACATCGTCTACTTCTCGAAGGTGTCCACTGCGCGGGAATGGATTCGAAAAGTTACTATGGTCTGATCCATATGTGAATGTGAAGTCTGAAGTGGCATAACCACATTTTCAATTTACATTCTATAATAATAGCGGAAATAAGTGTGAGAATGTATTTGTAGTTTTAAAATCAAAAAGAATTAATTGTCCAACATTTTATAATTTTAAGTTTTACATGTACTAGCCGAGCCGACTGCTCCACCATATTATAATTTTTATACTCGTTATTAAGTTTCATTATTCATTACAGTAGCGTAGTAGTGTCCGTCTTAATGTTTGTGTCATAAACTCAAATCAAAGTAATATTTTTTGAAATATTGGCTAGTATCATCAATTAATGAGTGGGTGTATAATTTATAGTTCCAAGCAATAAATCAAGCAATAAATAGCATATGTATATCTAGTTAATTATTCGTTAATGTGTTTATCTGCGTCAGATTAACCGAGTTTGAAGGTATCTAAGGTGCTTTTTAATGTTTACTACTGTCAAAATTGTATATGAACAACTAAATTAATCTAGGAGTTATTTTTTGTTTAGTAGAAAGATCAATGTTATATTTATTAGCAAAGATACACTTTTAACTGGACAGTTCTGGTCACACTTATACGCATTATAAGTCAAAGGCTGTGACCAACTAAGTACATTTTAAAATCAACGAAAGCGTATGGTAAGAGCCCAACTTATAGAATGAAATGTCTAAAATTAAAAGCTGCACAAGATATACATATTAAATTCAAAGAATATTTATGAAATACAAAGGAGAATAGTGCCATATGTATTTCTTCGTAAAACTTAGTCATTTCTTGGATTATCCCGTTTATTCGGCCTAGGGTGGCTACTCGGAAACGCGTGTTCATCTATCCACCCCAGACGGGATGGATAATCGAAATTCCATATATTATTTATCTTCTAATTTTCTCCCTCGGCTATGTACAGACATTTATAGAAACATGATAAAAACTGTCCCAACTTAGTAGACCTATAAATGCTTCTTGTTTAAAATGTCAACGCTAAATTAAAAGGAGTAGCTCCCAGGACAACAGCTTCATTGTAATCTTGGCATAAAACAATTTAAAATGAGGTTAAAAAAATTAGTGATGGTAATTTCCTGGACATATTGCAAAATTTATAAACTATGTAATATTATTTAAAATGAAGAAGTTTAATTTGGTTTAAATGCAACACGTACATGAGTATGAGTTGAACTAGACTTGGGGTAAAAGTGGGAAGAACAAATAAAATTTAATTCCGATTATCCTCCTCGCCTAGGGTGAATGCATGAACATGTGTTCCGAGTATCCACCATAGGGTGGATAAAAGGAATAACCCCATTTTTCATATCAAACTTCAAATAGATGTTGACAAATGTATGAAAACCACCAAATGATTTTGTTATTGTTGTATGTAATTAAGAACACTTATGGTAAAAAAAAATCCTTTTACTTTTATAGGATTCCTGCAAACTTTTATGCTAGTCAGTTTCGACTCTCTTAATGTCTTTAGTATATGATGTTTTTATTTTTATAGTTGAAAGATAGGATATAAAAATATATTGTTTCATACTTTTGTACACATCCAATTGTTTGTAATAAGTTTGTTAATCACAGTCACATTAATTTCAATGATGTACGAATATCATAATCTGGTAAATAGTGACCCATACAAGGAAACCTTGTAAATAAATAAATAGAGACATTGACTGAAGTTTCATTTTGCATCATTTTGTCACAGATTGTGGGGAAAAGAAAACAACTTTATATTCCTGGAAATTTAATGACTTTAATAGAAGAATAACTAAATTAAAACAGCAAGATAGAAGAAAAAATCATTATTAACATCATCTGATTATGTTTAAGCAAAAGACCAAAATTAATCAATGACCTAACAAAATATACAACAAAAGTCATTAAATAATTAAGTCCAACCAATCAGTTAGTCTAATGTGGACAACGACCGAAGGAATACATAGGTATTATTTGTTTCAACTTCACCACTAAACGAACAAGTTACATAATACAACTTACAATTTTGAATAATATTGTGATTAAAAGAAAAAAAGCTAAATAATTCTTTCCTACTTATATAATGTGTAATAATATAAAGTGTCGACTACTTATAAATGTATAACTATCCATATGCTTACATAAAATTTTCACACAGAGCGGAACGGAGGATCGGACGCGCGACTTCGACCACTCACGCACTATCTACTGCTGCATGGCCTTGTAAATGTTACGAATTACGATTGTCTCAACACATTTGTATCACACTCCAGTCGTCAGTTTAATTCGGAACACATTGATATCTCATTATTTAGTGATTTTATTGACAATGTTTTATAAATCTGAAAAGGTAAACTTTGAAATCTTTAAGTTGTTTTTTTTTTAAATAATATATCATTGAATGATTAAATGACTCAACACCACATTCGTTTTGAAATTCGAATATCGAGCGTGCAGTGAATCAAATTCAAAACAAATTTAATATGCTCGTATTTCGCACGGTACATATTCCAACTCGTCGTTCCAAATGTTCCGAATCGACTAAGGGCCGTCGCACGTTGTAACGACTAAACATTGACTTGATTCAAAGTAAGGCGTTGAAACGCAAGCCTTATGTCACATACAGTTCATTTATTTTAAATTTAAATGACAGGTCCACACTCCATACACTAGTTTCTTCGTTACAACGTGCAACGAGTACATTTCAGCGCAGTTACAGAGCCATCGTGACTAGTATAGTGCGACAGCTGGGGGTCGCAAGTCTTGCGGCTAGACCAAGCTAACGCTGGTCGCAGCGTCCGCGGCCACACTGCTCGCTCACTTGCGCCGATTCACGCGACAAACTTGCTATCCCTATGTCTTACGTCGAATGCTAGACAAAAAAGAAAGCGACAACTGCCCAAACCAAAGTGACAGCGCTAACGTCCTCGAACCGGTTCACGGTCCGCGGGCCGTTGTCTAGATAACGTTTCGAATGTTTCGCACAAAACACGTGTCAATCAAAGTGAGCACAATTCTGTACAATTTAAAACTAGGCAAAAACATGGAGATGTGTGCGGCGGCCCCGCTCCTTGAGCTTCAGCTAACAATTGTTATCACGATAATGTTCAAGCACGCTACGTACGCACGCTCCGTTGGAATTGTAACAATGTAGCTTTTTTTGGAGTTTTAATTTTTTTACAATATATAGGATTTGTTACTATAATTAATTATATCTAATATTTACAATGGAGGTGAATGGACATATTCAAAACCCTAATTAATTATGTTGAAAAATTAAAACCAGAAATTCCTACCCAAAACGTTTATCTACAAATTTTATAAACTGGAGATAAGGCGCATTTGCTCAGTCTGTTTCAATTGACCATGGAGATGACAATTTATGGCATTTTATATATTCCCTTTATGGACTAAGAATATACAACATGTAACATAATTAACGCACTTTGAGAAAGTAGTTTGTTCAGAATTGTTTACTGAATCGATTCCTATCATTTTCAATATAGGTAATTTTTTATCGCAAAAATAATTAAAACTACGTAAATTATAGTCACATTAAATCTGTACAGTCAAAACAAACTGAAATGGACCGTAACTTAAGCCAATAAGACTTTTAAGAGTGCAGTTTTATTTGTATTATTACTAATTCTGTCATCCAATAGAAATAAAGAAAAATGAACTCTATTTCAAGCACGTTACAGTCTTTGCGTTCATGGATTTGTACTGTGACCACAACATTCTTCCGGAATTAATATAACTAATTTGATAAATAATCAATGCATAAAAATGTTTAACTAAAAATTTAGTGTATGTATTATGATTATAACATAATATACTAATTGGGGTGTCTGAGGTTGTGCGTTAATTACGTTACATATTATATATATGTTTTTATTTTTCTTTTAATTATATAACGAGCTCTCTTTGAAAATATTTCTATACAATCTCTGTCAATTACAAACATAGTACATACTTATTATACAAAAAATTATGTCTAGGATAAGCAAAATAACAACGTTCGAAGTTTTAATTTAAAGGCGAGTAATTAGCTCCATGAACACCTAAAACTTGCACAATCGCCCAATCTCCTAGAAAAGCAAAACTTTCACAAACAAATCAAAAACGTAGATCGAGTGTGCGTTTCCGACTCTATCACTAAACTATAACTATGCAGAAAAATAGTCTCTGTTAGAACGAAAGATATAAAACCGGAGCGCGTCCATCAGTCGTCAGTCGTGGAATATAAAAACGCAAAATAAGAAACACATGCTCGATCTAGTTTAATATTAGAGTAATGTATCGCGATGTGGCGTGTGGCGGTGTGGGTGTGGTGGGGCGGGGTGAGTTCATATCTTGTGTATCTTCTGCGAGACGACGACGGGGTTGTTGCGGCGGATCTCCTGCGCGCCCAGCTCCCGGTAGTCGAACGAGCAGTCGTGCTTGTCGCTGTACCGGTGCACCGCGCAGAACAGGCCCCCGCAGCGGCACTCGAACCCTGTTCACAAACAATTATCCTATTATTTTACTAATCACTTACTCAACGGTGTTGTTCCCCTGACAAGAAAAAAAGTTTCTTGTTAATATCAGCAATTTGATCATAATGATTTAATTTTTTTATAGGAAAAAGGTGACAAGCGAGCACACAGTCCACCCGATGGTAAGTGGTTGCTGTGGCCCATAGACATCTACATCTATCCTCGTATGCAAATCAAAATGAAGATGCGTTGTCAGCCTTGAGGACTAAGATGGAAATCCTCTTTTCCAGTAAAAAGGGTCTTCGGTTCTCCACACTCACCATACGAAACACAACAGAATTAAGCTGCTATTTGACGCTGGTATTCTTTGAGAGCGTGGTCCTTCCCCGGTCGAGCCGACCCATTCATGCTACAACTATACAATTAATATAGGTGCATCATGGCTCTACCATGTAAAAGTGAGTTGCGTAGACTCAACGTTTTACGATGTTTTATGTGGTAGAGCCACAGCACAGTTGCAGCTATATTATAGTTGTACCCCGTACGGGCCGGCTCGACTTAAAATAGCAGATCAATGCTGCTGCTGCGTTTCGTATTGTGGGTGTAGAGAACCGGAGGCACTATTAATGAAAACGAGGCAATCCATCTCAGTCCAAAGGGGTGACAACGAATCTGCATTTTAATTTCTTTATCGAGGATAGATCTCTATGGGGACCATTGGATGTTTGAGCTTATGATTAGATGAGTCATGGAAATGCCAATTTTATGAGAAAGGTTTAATTGAAAAGATAAATCCGTTGGTATTAATGGAATCCAGGGAATTAAAACGATTTCTCTAGTTCCACATCCGGTCAGTATTGTGCACTCTATTATGAATGTTTTAAAGAATTTATATGCAAACATGTAATTTTTGCGCAATATGAGTGGATTAAGGTTACGTAATAAAATAAACAGACACTCTAGTTTTAAAATAAATTTGTATGGGGACTACACAGAGGGCTGCAAGGAATAGAGATATTCTGGTGCGAAACGAACAGCGTCTTCCAGTTAGCGTACAGTGTCTACACAGTTTGTAATGTAAAACATCAGAGCATTGTACTTGGAGAGAATTAAGTCATTTATCTTACCTACTTGATAGTTAATAGTTATCTAGTTATACAGATTGTAACACGAACGGTGGTTCTTTCACTTAAAAAAAAAAACCCACAAAAAAAAATATATTAGTTTTGAGATAAACATTGTCGACCAATTATTGAAGTTTATTTTTCTCAAACTCAAGGACTTTTATTATGAAGATTAATTCTTCCATTATCTAGTGACATACGCAATTTGACCAACGCAACAAAATGACAGTTTTTATGTGCAGACAACGGAAAAGGGTGCGGCAGTGGCGTGCCGGTCAGCTGTAATTTTTTTTCGCCGCGCGTAATTTGAATCTGTGATATTTTCTAAAGTATTTATATAAATAATATAAATGTAAGGTTATACTATGTGTCAACCTTAAGAGATAGACATTTATTATGTCAACGCGGATGTTTGTCCAGGCTTTTTGAAGAATTACAATTCGTTCGTACTATTTCGATAAGGTTTAAGGTCTTAAGGTTTAGCCAGCTATGTAAGCGTCCGAAAAGATTGAATTTTCCCTATTATTTAAAAAAAATTAAAATGTATTTTACATACTACCCTTCCGTAAAAAATTCTAAATGACAGTGACGTACAAAATATTTTGTGTGGTTTATAGTCCAGGAGGAATCGACGCATAAGTACCGAAAACTATTCCAATAAAAAAATTTATGCGATTCTGTTCAAATAATCGTCCTACTGATGAAATAAATGCATGTTGCCTTGGGGCAACTCGGTGCCATATTGTTTAAAACGGTTTTTTTTTAATAGCAAGGAATTGTTTTTTTTTTCAAACGGGACATTTTTTATATTTTAAAAATAAATCGGTTTAAACAATATGGCATCAAGTTGCTCCAAAGAAACGTGACAATTTGAAGAGAATCGCGTAAAATAAATTAAAGTGTAACAGTTTTCGGTTCTCATGCGCCGATTCCTCCTCTACTATTAGGAAAATTAAATAAAATAAGGGGTTGGTTTGGAAAAACCAAAAAATACATATTTAATTATTTTATTAACTGTGCACTTTCAGTAGGTTTTCAGTTCATTCTTGCCCGGTAAAATAAAAAGTTTCATAAAAACTTTAATGTCCTATATCACCCCCTTAGAATTTTCCATAACCCTATATAGTGGAGGCCTTAATAATCGGAAATCATATATTATTTTTCTTAGAAATTTTCTCTCTCGCCTGTCGTTTATAGAAACCTGTAAAATATTTTTTGAATACTGATTATATGATGGCGTTTGTGAAATACTATAAAAAGACATGGCTCAAGAACGAAATGAAAAATTTAAAAAAACCCATTGAAAAAAAAAAAAAAAAAAAAAAAGAATTTCTATAGGTTATACAATTATGTCTATACAATAATGAAATTAGTTTTGGTCATTTCCCGAACAAAATGCAGAATTTATAATTTACTTATTGTCATTTAAAACGAGGAAGTTTAGTTTAATTCAAATGAAATACGTTTTTAAATATGATTTTTGTTTAAGTTTGTGGTTATTAAAAATTAATGAATAATATATTAAAGTATGAATATATTTTCTATTGGACTGTGTACTTGGTGCGAAAAGGCGGAACAACAATCAAAAAGTGAATTCAGTTTATCCAACCCGTCTAGGTTGGATAAACCAACAAGTGTTTGCGATTATCCAACCTAGGGTGGATTTCTTAGGGGGGATAAAAAGAATAACTCCCTCTGAGCTACGATGGGACTTTTATTATAATAACATCTAATATAACTAAATGCCTTGTACTTTTCCGAGTGTTACGAGTATATTAAATTCAATACGTATTGTAAAATTCACTTAATTTTTTAATCTTGACTACTCCGTGGCGTAGTGACTTAGCAATGAGTGGCTGCGCTGGGGGTCGCGGGTTCGAATCCCGCACAGAACAAGAATTTGTATGGGCTACAAATTATTGTTCCGGGTCTGGATGTTTGTCCTTGTGCAATTTATGTTTGTAAACTGCCCCCACGATACAGGAGAAAATCCTAGTGTAGGGGTAACAATTTTTTAAAGAAAAAAAAATCTGTTTGTTAGTATCGAACTTTCGGCGCGTCCCGCGTCCTCTGAGTGCCCGTATATGAGCCACGAGCATAAAACTAACGCGTGCAAAGCCTCAACACGTGAACAGACTACATGAACGTGCTATTGATAAGGGTTTAATTGTGAGAATTAGGAATGGGCGATACAAATCGTATATAGATACAATATCAGTACAATATTCAATATCTATATATATATATATCGGACGACAAACCAACTATATATTAGATATTACGATATCGCTGCCGCGGCAATACAGCCAGCGATGTCTGAATCACAGAATATCTAATATTTACTCGAAACGAAAACGTAAAATATCCAAATACATATATTGATTCGAATACCGAACAAACCATGAGCGCGACAGAATATATAGGTGAAACTGATATTACGACGACTTCACAACTAAAAGGTGATATGCCTAATATTATTAATATTAATCCTTATTAGTAGTAACATAGAATTTATTACAGAACACATCATTTTTAATATCCAGTCTAAGTAGTATTTTATTAATATTTTGTTGTACTGCCCTATTTTCGAAATAAACGACTTTAGATCTTACTGTGTATTTAATAGAATGTTATTTTTAATTCAATTAATTTTAAATACTTGTAACACGACTGCAATTTAAGTTAAAACCGACATTGAAACATTTAAGTACCTACTGATTACTGATACTGATTTGCTCTTGTGCTTTAAATTTCAAAAAAAAGCTCTTGTGTTCTATTTTTAAATTTTATTTTCAGTTTCGTTCACATGCATCGTGAATTGCGTTGCGTAATTTGAATCATTGAGGTTCCAACCTCCATGATTTGAATGCATATGACATATTTTATGTAATGTCTCTGCTCGCTTTCGTTTGTAATTCGGTTTCGAAATTTTAATTTGATATTTTTTTCGTTTAATGATAGTTTTTTAAGTTTGAACAGTTTTTGTGTATAAAAAGTAGTGTAACATAAAATATTATATAGATGCGTAGATATTAGGTAGATACTGTATATTTTTTAAACAAATTAATTCAAGTTTAATGTTTGACATTCTGTAGAAATAATTAAACCTATTAAGTATAACAATGTCTCGTCCGCTTACAAGCATAATATGGGACTATTTTGAGAAGTGTAATAAATTAAAAATATATTCTTTGGAGTAAACGAGTAAAATAATACTTCGTAATAGGCGCCATCTACTTCATTTTATACGTAAAATGATTTTATCGAACAAAAATTGATTAACTCTAAAGGTGGTATGCACAAAATACACTAGATGGTATAAACATGACACGATTTAATTTAATATTCCATTTCATTTTCTCGCAGGCTAAATCCTATTGATATATACCTATATGTCACTTCTTATATCATGATATTTTAATGATACTTAAATTACATAAATAATACGATATATATAAGGAAGTGCATTCATAAATCGTATCGTAACACCATGTGATACTGTATACTGACTTCTTTTCGCAATGAAAATATCAACAATTATATAGATATTGAAATATATAGATGCAATATTAGATATTCGTTTCTAATAGCTGGCCACATTTCAATACAAATTATTACATAAAAATGTAGCCCACGGCAAATAGAAAAATCATGGTAGCTTTAAGCGTATTCTGATGAATATGACATTTGATCACTAATGTTTTTATGCTTTCTATCGTCTTTACGACAGTCTAACAGGAAAAGAAAGAGACAAATGGATAAGAGCTATTTTTGAGATGTTTGTGTTGTTAGCCTATGGTGCTCTTACAGCTTCACCCAACTCAGGGCTCTTAACTAATTAATTAATAAATAGTTATAAACCGCAGCCACATAGCTTGCAACGTAATCACAGTTAAATATTAAGCTAAATACTATCTTACGGATCAATATAGCCCCTTCTTTATTACTTTGAAATAAAATGACTTTTTAGTTGCATAATCTATAATTCCTAGAACAGAGTGAAAAGTTCACATTATAACCTTATGAAATACACGCAGTTATCAGCTATTCACTATCAATAACCGCTTACTGCGCAAGTAATTAAAGCTCACATTAGAATAACGTGATATCTTGACACGCTGTTAAGAAATATATTCGTCATTCAAGACAAGGGCTATATAGTATACATGTTATAATACGATATTAAACTGTGAGTTCTGTGTATTAGGCTGCTATTATAAACAAAAATATTAAATACTAGTTTATTTTTGTTTAATATATATCTAAGAGTAACACAGCCCCCCCCCCCCCCCAAAGCTTCGCTAAAAACTTACGATCTAGATAGATCTTTTACAGACGTAGCAGATAAACACACACCAGATGCCTATTAAGGCTCGTAAAAAAATTAGACAATGTACGTCACGGCAGGCCTCTGTCACTCAAGCTAACTGCGTGAAATAATTACCTATAATCGCGGGGCGCCCTGGGCGTTATATAACGCAGTCGGGGCTAGCGCGTTGTAGGCGACTGAATGTTAGTTTTTTAACGCTGTTTACGTAAATAGTTTTATGTAAATACTTGTTGAAATCGTTTAATGTTTAGTATACTTAATTGTAGGATTAAATAGTTGTAAAAGTTTTATTGTAATTTAAAAATTACATATTATGTATATTACCTATTTAATAAATTATAATGGCAAAACGTCGTTTCTACTATAAGTGTTGCGTGGATGGATACTAAATGACCAACAAAAGGTTTCATATTCTTTAAGTTACCGAAAGATTTTAGAAGGAAGTTATGAATTTATTTCATTTTTTTTAGATAAGTACTTACAGCAAAAAAGAATTATGTAATAATTTGATCTACAGAATACCTATAATACCTAATTATATACCAATATACCTAAGTACTTTATTACAAAAATTATTTAAAATTTACTTCACTATTCAAGTATCTACTTACATACATATACTTGTCTTTTGTAATTAAAATATTTTAAGTTATAATAACACAAAATACTGAAATTAAAACTTTGTATATTAACAAGATTTTTAACTAAGTAGAATAGACCACATTAGGGTTAGGAATCGTATTTCAGGTTTATTTGTTGTTTACACTATCTACCTATTTCTTCCGAACCAAGCATCGCGTTTCTTGACGAATGACCTTGCAATTTCCATGCGTTTGGCATCGCAGAACTCACATAGGGGCGAAAATATGGTCAGTCGATCAGTCAGAAGTACTTCGCGATTTCGCAATGTGTTTTTTTAACTTTTTATTGATATCCCTTAGTAAGCATGGAAAGTCCGCCGTGACTTAGGAAGGGGAAAAGATGCAAAATAATATGGACACACTCGCGCGCAGAGATAAAGTTTTATATAGCTTGCATGCGTGATTTATCCAATTAATAATAATTATGTAAGCTGTTAAAAGTCGGCAAGCAGTCAACTTCAAAAAAGTGTAACTTCTGTACGTAGTACAATTATTTATTCTGTGGTCACAGCAGCAAGCGGGATATATGTACTGTGTTACTGGAGACATTTTTTTAAGATCCTTTGAAAGCGACAAGAAGACAATTTAAAGGGCATAATACAATGGAACTTTTATCGAATCTGCAATATATATTTATATATAAATAAAACATCCATCACACTAAAACGTAGGTACGCTAGTTTTTATGTTCCTTTTGTACCCGCTAACTGAATGATGGCCCCACTTTCAAGCTACCAAGCACGCATACGTTTTCAACTACTTAATGGACTAACTATCTGTAAAATAATTTAGCTTTGCTAAAAATAACGTATGTCTGGGGGTCTTGGATCTTGGACTATCTATAAAGTGTATTTTAAAGAACTTTGACTACAAATAACGAATACCAACAAGATATAAATATTAAAAAATATAGTGTGTCTTGAATGGGTTCGGTGTAAAACACTTTTCATTTAAATCAAATTGTTTGTACAATTATTGGAATCTTGAGTTGTACAAACTGGTATGTTGTAGACTATTATATTTTAATTACTAAACCACAGAAGAGGGAGGCCAAAAGAGTGAAAGAGATAGCGATAAATACTGCGTAATTGTTAGCAAAAATATTTGATTTAAAAATAAAAGAGCATCCAAGCAGCGTGTCGGCTTACCTGTAAGTCCAACCTTCTTGCGGCACACGGCGCACCTGTTCTTTTTCTTTTTGTCCTTGCTGGGGTCCTTGTCGTCGGCGTCAGTGTCCGACGCGCCGGTGCTCGCGCCGCTCGTGCCCGCTCCGCTTTCCTCCTCCAACTTCTGCAAGATTATAGTATTACATTAGAACCAACACCTCATCATCAGGATGAAAATCTCTTAAGGGGATATAGTAAGTCAGCTCAAATTCTAATTTCGCCCCCAGTTCCCCGCGCGTCGTATGCTATGTACCGACATGTTTGTAATCACTAACACTGTAAGTAGATAGGTCGTTAGACACTTTTTCATTAGGTTTATCATATTTATGGCCTGTTTCTTAACGCCAACCCAGTCGCTTTTTATTTTTATTACGGTTATTTCCCATTTTAATTTTAAGTCGTCCTGTTGTTGCGTAATGTGTATTCTGATCGTAAGCGACACAACTTCCCCCTTTAAAAGCCGGAGCTATACTAACGGGGCGACAGGAATCAAGCTCCAAGACGCCGATAGTTTAGGTAATTTCTTTTTTACAGTGAAAATAATGGTATTTTAAAAAAAAAAGTAAATAACATAAGCACTGCTTTATAGTAAGATCAGTTAGTATGCAAAGTTTCATGATCTTATTTAAAGTTTTTTAAACAGCGGTTTATTGTTCAGTTTGGAGGTAACTTTAATTTTTTTTCTATCGAAAAAATTTTACGGAATCGTGTTTTCGTCTAACATAGTCCTTAACAGTAATCCTCAACTTTACCATATATTTATTTCAAAATTAATGCTGCAATACTTTCGGCATAACGGAGGATCTTGCTAAGCCATTTGAGGTTATATTTCCCCTTAAAGTGAAGATGACACGAAGTCAAATAAAACATGAAATTCACAATAGTGCTTGCTTTTTGTTACTTGGTCTTTAAAACCAAGATAGATATTATAACATGTAACATCTTTTTCTAATATTTTAAATTCATTTTAATAATCACATTAACATCGTGACCAACCCTTTTAAGGTTCTTTTTCACATCATGGGCCACTGTCGTATGGTCATCCTTCTTATCAAATTGCACAGTCGATGTTTTGTTGGCATTGGTAACGGGTTCAACGAAACTCTTCTTTACTTTATCTGGAGTACTGTCTTCAACTTTGGCCTTGAGTGTAACATCTTTCTCAATTTTCTTAGTTACATCTGTTATGGACAAAGGAATTGTGTCGTTACTCTCTACACCAGGACGTTTGTTTTGAAAGTTTTTTGACCGCGACGCACCTACATTGCTATCGGCGGAGTTAGAATTGTTATTACTGGATTTACTATTTCGTCGAAGCGCCTTCTTTAAAATTCTCTTCCCTTTCGATTCTTTTTTACTGGGATCATTTTCCATTATTCGAATTTCATTTCTGCATTTTTAACATGTTGACTGCAATAAAAATAGTTTTAAGAGATTTTTAAAAACAAATATTATTAAACAATATGATATATTATAATATATACTGAATGATTTTTTACCTTCTGGAAAAAATAGGATGTAACAGGTAAATGGAATAGAAAGAAGCCTATTGCACTGATATTTTACATTTTTTTATTTTACTTTAACATATGAAACTAATGTACCAATAAATACCACTAATTGAGTACGTATTATTTTTCATTTCGATATTTTTAATTTGTTTATTTATTTAGTTCAAAAATTTTGTTATTTTTTTAGTACCGAAAGCTTCCACTCCGCTCAGCTGTTACACGCTATTTTTTTCCAGACGGAAATAAAATTAACCAGTATACATAATGCCATTTGCCACATACGGTTGGATAATAGCTTTCTGTCTTTTAATCGGTCGTGTTACAACAAAAAGTTACATATTTCATTATTTATTTTATTTTTTATTATAAAATTATTAGTTTTGTATAATTACGAAATGTTTTTGAATTCACTATGGTGTCAATAACGTCAGTTTGACATGAGTACACATAAGATGATCGTCATTACTATATGCCAGTATTAAACAAGACTATGCAGTAAAAAGTTTCATATCGCGTCCGTAAACATAAAAACCTTTGCTATATTGCGGAGTTGGCGAAAATTCACGAAAGTATTTTCAAATGCTAGCAACAATAACGCTTAGCGTTATTCGTGAACGTAATTTCCACATGAGTGTGACTGGTGTTGAATTTTTTTAAACTCGATTGAACTATATTGTAAATTTATTAAGTATCGATGCGTATTTTTTGCTGATTAGGTGAAGCATTATCTTACAATTGTGATAAAGTACGGAATCAAACTCATAATTCGCAGCTAAATAGCTCATGGCCGTTGTAAAACGCAAACAACTTTTGGATATCAAGAATTTTTTTCGAATCTTATTATTTAGATATATAATAATCAAGTACCCGGTTGACCGAGCTTTGCTCGGTATTTTTCGCTCGGTTTTTTTTTAATTCGTGTGTTTTGGAAATTACATTTAGATACAAATTACATACTGATGAAATACAAATAATATTTTTTGATCTTAGCGACATAATAGAAAAAACTGAACTGGTTATTTGAATAAAAAATCATGAGTTCAATTAGTTTAATTTAAATTTTCGTGTTTTTAAAAAAATACTAAAAAAAGGGCTCGAAATAATAGATTTTCTCAAAAAAGAAAGGAACTTGAAAAAAAATTAAAAAAAGTTGGTCGGTCGGTATGGACTCGAACCAGGGAAGACAGGGAAACAAACCATAAGATGGACAGCAGCGTATTCCAAATAAAAAATAAATACTTTTTAAAAAAATGCAGTTGTCAACCCGCCTGCCATGCGCGACAACTATGGCAAATATTCACTTATAAGGCAATCTACGGGAGAGGCCATGTTCAGCAGTGGACTTTTGATGGGCTGTAAGGGTGTAGTGGTGGTGTAATGGCAGCTGTACACTCTCAACGAGGCAAGGCGAGGACGAGAGTGTACAGGATACTTTCGCTGAGCCTTGCCTTCCCTCGTCTCGCCTCGCGTGCTCTCGCGCTCGTGTCGGTTTTTAGTGCGCGAGTCAAAGGGCCTCGCCTTCCCTCGCGAGTGGACACGAGTGCGTCACTGTACACTCGCGCTTCGTTCAGTCTACCGCAATATATTGTCGCATGCAGTATATTTGGTTATCCTACTACCACAAAGTTATCATGTGGAACCAAGAGAGCGAACTCAATTTTCTTGAAATTTATCAGAGTGAACTTATTTTGTGGGAGCTCACGCATCTTTACCACAAAGATAAAAATCTATCCCTTCTAAATAATGCGTCCATCTCCTCGTCGTCGACACCGTAACTGAATAAACGAGAATGTACAAGGTCACACTCGTGAAGCGTTTCTCGTGCGAGAGGTTCACGAGAGGCATGGCGAGCGCTCTCGTGCATGAATTGTACAGCCGCCATAAGAATATCCACTACCGAATATCGTGCTGTGGGTGTTGTAAATGGCGATAGAGGAAAACAAATCAGATGGGTAGTGCAGATCAGAGGAACATATCAAATCTTCCTAATAACGACTAAAAATAAAAAAACTGGTTGCCAACACACTTGCCCAGCGTGGCAACTGTGGCAAATATCCCCTCCCCCCTATGAAACATTTTATGGGGAAGGCCTATGTTCATCAGTGAATTTAATAGGCTGTAATGGTAACAGTAAGGGTAACACGAATACATCACCTCAAAAAAAGCATATTTTAATAAATAAAAAAGGTCCGGAAAGGTAGGACTGACAACCGGCAAGCGAAACGTAGAGAGCACACCATATCGAGGATCGACCTGGTAAGACATGCACAAAATCGATAGATGCATCATTCCTTGGGGGAGGTCTATGTTCAGCAATGGACTTGTGAAGGAAGGGCTGCAATGATGATGATGTTGACACAATCTCATTTTAAATTGGTAACTATTCAATTCTTACGTTGTAAAGCCATGTTGCAGCTATATTATGGTTGTAGTACAAATGGGTCGGCTCGGCCGGGGCAGGAACATGCAGAATACCAGCGTAAAATAACAGCTTAATGCTGCTGTGTTTCGTAAGGTGAGTGTAGAGAACCAGAGACACTTTTTACTGGATACGAGGCATTCCATCTTAGTCCTCTGGAGCAACAACGCAATCTGCACGTTGATTCTTAATCAAGGATAACTGAAAATGTCTATGGGCCACAGCGTCCACTTACCATAAGGTGGGCTGTATGTTCGCTTGTCACCATTACTTTATAAAAAAATTACTCTAAAATGCAGAAAGCGTTTTCAAGGGATAAAAACACTCGGTATTGTTGTTTTAATATTTAACCTGTTTATTGACTGGGGTAACTAAGCTTCATCGTCGATCGGAATATTATTACGACTGAAAATATTAGTGATCATTAAAAAGAGACCTATATGAACGACTTTTTTAGTAAAAGTCGTAATATCTAAAAATTTTATGGGTCAGATCAAAAATCAACCACCATACTAGATCCATAGCTGCACATTGGAAATTCTATTAACGTCTGCCATGCCAGCATCGAGCGTTAGTACTTTGAACACTTACACATACTTATCCAACCGGGCAGGCTTACGCAAGAACCAGCCTTTTTATTTGGGTTACCTTACATATACGATTAGGTGTATTATATTTAAACATGTTGCGAAAAATACCAATCTTTGTATATAAAACAGTTACATAAAAGAACATTAGCGTTAAACATATTCACATCACTAAAGTGCAAATCACTAATTATAACATGAAAGAAATCCAAATTAGTTGCAACATTCCGATGATTGACTCACGCAATACCAAACATGATACAGTTACTAGCGAAAAGACACCAAAGCGCTGTGCTTGCTATAACTTGATACAATAGCAACGGTACGCGTGTTGACCGATATTTGCTTTGCAGTCTTTGCAAAATCTTCATGTGTGAGTCATCCTTCAATGCTCGTGTAGAGATTTATAAAACACAAAGTACAAAATTACATTTATTTTCGAATATAAAGTGTCTAACCAATTAATGAACTGTTTTAGTTAATACATGGTAGAGCCAAGCTAACGCTATATTGGGGTTGTAGCACGAAGAGGTCAGCTCAACCTGGGAAGGATCACACTTTCACAGAAATCCAGCGTAAAATAGCAGCTTAATGTTGCTGTGTTTCGTATAGTAAGTGTAGAGAATCGGAGACCCTTTTTTTACGGAAAATAAAGCATTTCATCTCAGTCCTCAGAGGTGACAATGCATCTGAATTTCGATTTCTATCCTAGGATAGATATAGATGTCTATGGGCCACAGTGTCCACTTACCATCAGGTGGACTATGTTCGTTTGTCATTCATTTTATTAAAAAGAATCTATTAGTTTTCACAAAATATTACTCGGTATAGAAAATTGAAGTCAATCAACAATTTTTTTTATTTAGTTAATCCTACAGCGTTTTAATCATATTTACAATACATACTAATATAATACAGTAAGCCAACAGAGAATACACATTTTTTATCAACTAATCACTAAGCGTGCGTGTGTGCTTAAGTAAGTGTGCGTGCGTATGTGCTTAAGTGTTTAATTACAATTAAATCTTTATTCCATTCAAACTAAAAAAAAATATTTACATTTCCAGATTGAGCAATACTCAAAAACATGCACAACAGCCAGGTAAACTACATCAAGAGCTGAGTAAAAACTCTTGTAGTTCACAAGGTCTACTGTTTAAAAGATCTAGAGAAAAATACAAACGCAAATAGTAATTATTCATTGCGAGTTTACGAGTAAGAAATGTAATATTGTCAGCAATTTTAATGATGTACTAGCATGGCCTCTTGAAACGTGACCATTAGAATAACTTTCAAGACGAGTAATAGAAAATAACACGAACTTAATTTATTTATTGTGGTAAGTGGCGTGCATGTATCATAAAAACATTCATGGCATGCGAGAAAAGAAATAAATCTTTTTTCAACGTAAAATATAAACATTTGTTAATAGGCATTGTAGATATTGTAAATGCTCGGTGGGTGCTATGTCAGGAAGTAGTGAGGTGCACGTGCAACAAGTAAATGAGTAATGTGCTCACATCTGTGTGGGTCTGCGGCTGGGCGGGCAGGCTGGGCACGGTGGGCGCGGCGGCAGCGAGCGGCGTGGGCGTGGGTGTAGGCGTAGGCGTAGGCGTAGGCACGAACGACGCAGCGACCGCGGAAGGCGTCGTCGCCGGTGGTTGTTGCTTCTTCTTTAAAGCCTCCTGAAACCAATTATCACAAAGATTCATACCATGAGACATTGGATAAAATATAAATATGAGTATAAGTATTAGGTACATTAAAAATTTAATTCAAAAATTTACTTAAATTTCCCTAGTGCACGTTGGTAATTAGGGTACGCGTAAGGTAACATAATATAAAACATGGCATAAGAAAGATTTCACAAAAATGTTAAAGATCAACATGTTTCGTTACGTTTACTCATACGCGTGCAAAAATTTCATACACTAACTTTCATAAAATAGATTTGAATGCTTTTGAAAACAGGAAAATAGGTTTTCTAAACAAATTATTTAAACCTAAATTTAAATTTAACATTTATTGACAGCCAAAATTCTTATTTATATCTTATTACTATAGAATTTATTATAATTCAACCTACACCATACAATTCACTAATTTACCAGCTCTTTGAATAATTGAGTACAAGCTCAGAATCGCCAGCCTTTTGGTGTTTTACAAGATACATTTCACTAGTGTGCGCAGGAATTGCACGACTAAATTTCTCCATTCCATCCATCGTACCACATCTTTCCATCTAATTTTAATGTTAGTCTCTTCAAGACAAGAACGAATAGGAATAGACTTGGTTGAACTAAGTCGCTTTACAATTTTCGGCTGCATCATCAATTACCATCAAGTGGGGAATAGTAGTCAAGTACTGGCTTATATTAGTAAAAACATATTTAAATATTATTTCTGGTATTTAATATTTTTTAAGTTAATAGATATCTTATTTACAACTTCGATTATATTTTCTTATTCCAAGATTGTAGTTTAGTGGATTTAATCATTGCCGTTAGAAACAACTTTTTATGCTTCTGTACCAAAAATGCACAAAGGTAAGAAGCCAACGTTTTTGCATAAAATTTTTGTTTTTAACGTGATGTTATCCAAAAAATATATATTTTTTGCGTTGCCTCACACACACTATGAGAACATAGCGCAGTAAAAATTTTACGTTTTCTTGGTATAATATGAACAGACATCTTTCTGTTTATTAAGTTTTGATTTGTTTAAAAGCATACATGAACTTAGTTACTCTGATAGAAACATCGTTTTCATGTAGTTTCTAATTTCTTTTTTCCAAACGGTATAGAAAACTAGAAAAATTAGATGCGGTATAGCAGAACTTCCTTAGAGGCGAACTTGGCATTTGTAGCCAAGTTGGCTGCAGGTGACTATGAGCCGCAGTAGCCATTCACCATCAGGTGAACTGTAAGTTATGTTGTTACTAATATAATTTTATTTTAAAAAATGCCATTTATTTTAATTGTAGATGATTTTTTTTTACTATTTGTATGTGTAGCTGCTTTTATTTTGCTATAATAAATATAAGATGATCCCAATCTTTTCCAATTTTTGTAACAATTAGTCATGGTAAACTATGTCGAAGGCTGGTCAAAATAGCCACGTTGTAAAATTATTATTATTGATATTTGCGTAGACATTATCTATTTTTTAATTGAATATTTATATTGTTTCACAGGAGAGAATAATATATTTCATGATCCAAGCAATGAAAACGAACTTCTGTTTTAAGGTTTTAATTTTTTATGAAAAGCATTGTGATCTATTAACACAAATTAAAATGTTTTCTAGAAAAATGCAACAATAAAATAAATTTTGTTTTATTTTCAAAAATTTAAATCTTTATAATAGACTTCAAAATAGGAGAAGGCTCTTATTTGACTGTATTTCTTGTTTGTATGTTACGTAATATCTTCGCTAATGAATAAACCGATTTAACCTTGAGTTTATTTAATAATGGTAGGGTATACCTCGCGCATTCTAACTTGGCCAGGCTGAAGTTAATCGAACGAGGCTGCGCAGATATAGTTTTTAGGAACAAAATGGTAACAAGAGAGCAGTGGGAGGGTGGGCGGTAGATAAATCTAGAGATGCGAACACGCATATTGCGCGGTTACAATAACCACAGATTAAAAAAATGTTACCGATGAATCGATTATAGTTATATGTATTTAATATTGTTATATTTGCTATATTGAAGTGAAAACTTTTTAGAATCGTTGTGATTTAAAACTCGATGAAACGAGAAAGCGGCACTAATAAGAAACAAATATATCTATAGAACTTAACCAGCGAGAGAATGAGATAGAATACATTATATAGTTTCCTTTTATCTCGGTCTCCGCTTTGTGCGGTAAAGCACCGCATGGATGGATGATTAATATAACTTTTAACTCGTAAAATAAACAGTTTAAAAATTAACAAATTTATCAAATAAATAAGTTTAACAATATTGAATAAAATTATCTTAATCAATCCATTCATAACAATCCACGATTTTATAACTCACCTATTTATATTAAATTACTAGTATTTTACGTACCACCTTGAGTCAATGAATTTTTGTGACTGAAAATGACTTTACCTATTAAATGAAGTAGGTTTTACGCACAGAAATCGTAATAATAAGACAATATTATTACGATTTCTGTGGTGTTTCATTTATAGCGCGGGTGAACTACACAGGTTTTTTTATTGTTCATTGGTGTGTAAATTCAACAAGTCGTTTTAAATAGTCTTTAATTTATTATATTTCTTTATTTTTATTTTTTATTACATTCTATTAGCAAAAAGATACAATGGGTGAACTTAATGCCTAAAGGCATTCTCTACCAGTCAATACACATTGTATTAAACAAAATATATTATGATATTATATTGTAAGTGAATACATAAATATCCGTATATTTAGTATTTACATAATATATTAACACATAATCATAATCATAATATACACACATATACACGTGTGTGTATACACACACACACAAATTAATACATACGTATAAATACGACTATTTGACAATATTGTAATTATATTATTTTGGGGTCACTGAAAGAATTTGTTGTCCCTGCTAATATAGTGTATTTATTATATATTCAATATGTTTATCGTAATTCTTTATTAAAATTAGATATACTATTGTTTTATTGAAAAATATATTTTCATTATAATAATCATTTTAAATAATCGTTATAACCGATATAAACAAAACAAACTGAGCGAATATGAAATGGCACATCTCTATCGACTAGCGTCTTTACATGCGCAAAAGGTATCTTCAGCCCGGCCAAGATAGAGTGCGCGGACATTAGTTTCATATAAACTTGAAGAAAAAATTTCACCTTAAAGGGTTGTTAAATAGAAAATGATTTTTAATGTATTTTCAGTTTGTTACTTTAAATCTGACCCCAAAAAACTAAAAAATACAATTTCTAGATAAATAAATGGTTTCAGAAGTCGGCTTTTGGTACTAATACAGTCAATTTCAGAAGTTGTTTATATTATGGAAATTATTTTATCCTTTTTAGATTTACGAAGTCTCTTTTCATATTAAATAAGCTTATTTTTTGACCATTTTGAAAAGGATGCTTTCACAGTATACCGACGTAAAATAGCACCAACAGCATATACGTCAAGTGACTACAAGAACTTAATTTTTTTATTCTTTCTAGTAGGGATGCGCCGAATATGAATTTCACCGAATACGAATATTAGGCCGAATGTTCGGTAAAATTTTTACCGAACCGAATATTCGGCCGAACATTATTCGGCGGGGTCACATCGGTACCTAACCAATTTATGTCGAAACTTGTTACCGAAAAGCGCGCGGGATTAGCGCCGTACCCTGCCCCTTGCTCCCCCGCCACACCTGACGTGTTATTGCTTCATCTAGTACTGAGCAAATTGCCGGCACATGCTTATGTTTTGACTATTCTTGTGATAAAAATAAGTATTTCGTTGTTTTATTCTTAGTGAAAATTGATAATTATATGATAAAAATGAGCGGCAGATTTACTATTTGGACTTATTTTAGAGAAACTGACGACCAAATTAAAGTGAAATGTACTAATGTAATGTAATGTTTCTTTGTTTGATTCCAAAAACATTTTATCAAGTTTCTGTTTGCCATAATCGGTAATAAATCTACAGTTCCTCAAAAACATAAATGTATAGATTTATGCATTTGAGGCACTCTAAAGTAGATTTTTTTTTCAACAGTAAAAGACATCTCATTACTTAATTCATACATTGCAATATATTGGACACTATGAAAACGAATTTTCGGTGATTTAGCCGAATATTCGGTAAAGCTGTCGAATAAGCCGAATACCGAATATAAAACGGCCCATCTCTACTTTCTAGTTCTATTTCAGTGAATGGAAGGGTAAGGTCTAAATGTAAAGCGTACAGCGGGATGTTTCCAATACGATCTTGTATATAGTGTCTTGAGTCTCGTGAATAGCGGTCGCTCATAATGCATGCCGAACGCGCCGCTTACTCTACACGCCCCGCCACTCGCACGACGCACTACGACCTTAGTCTAACAGTCGTTGTAATTCATCATTTTTCTCGAAGCAAACAGGTTCGTGACAGCACAGTATTGTTACTCCATACGCAGTCACCGATTAGTTCCGATAGTGACCTACACGTACAGGCATTGTGTAACTTTGCAATTAGGTTGCGCAACAACCTTAAGAGGAACGCAAATTTTGTTCTCGTGTGAAGTTTTATGTGTTAATCAAATATCACAAAGTGCCGTCCTAAGCCGCCTTACCTTGATAAGTTATGTTACAGAAACAACAAACATCAACTCATACTTCTGCTATCACATCGCAATGACAGCCGTGTGGCACCAAATGCCGTACGATGAAACTTGAAATTATTTCGATGGACACTTTGTCTTATCAGCTTATCTATCCACTCCTATTTTTGTACTTGAACAATTTATCTAAGTTAAACAATTTAAGTCGTCAGAAATGCTAATGTTACTACAAAAGTCCTTGTTCACTTGTTCATGATTTTATTAGAGCCAATATTACCGTTTATATATAGGATTTCGCTTACAGTAAGAGTTCACGGCTTTAGATTTACTACCACTTGCAGCTCGTTCACATAACGACGTTTGCCGAACGACACTTATAATATAGAAATATTCCTTGCTAATCC